AATTGTTAAGTTTCTCTTTTTCTTTTTTTAAATAAAATTCTGTAGATATTGGAAAATTTGAAAATTTCTTTGTCACAGATATTTTAAATTGTAAATTTCAATAATTGACCAAGGATATTGGAAAATGGGAGTTTTCACGATTCTTCCACTTAATAATTCAATAATTTCCAATAATTTCGACTTTCTACGTTTAATTGTTAAGTTTCTCTTTTTCTTTTTTTAAATAAAATTCTGTAGATATTGGAAAATTTGAAACTTTCTTTGTCACAGATATTTTAAATTGTAAATTTCAATAATTGACCAAAGATATTGGAAAATGGGAGTTTTTCCACGATTTTTCCACGTTTTGATAGTTGCATTTCGCGCGCTAAGATTTTTAACGGAGGATTTTTCGTCGATGTGAAGTAAAATTCAAATGAAAGCTGGAAGATACGTGGAAGATATAAATTTGCAATCTCTTCAGATCCATCCTCAATGGACAGCGTGCAGTAATTATTCATACGACGTCAGCGTCGTGCACCAGCAGAGTGTTAATTCGAAGAAAATTAAGCAATTTATTATTCAAATTTTGGTTCCTACGATTTACCAACCAGTTAAAGCCACGATGGCTGTTGATCAGGACGGTAATTAGCATCGTTTTCGTTTCGTTGCGCTTAATAGAAAACCGGAAGTTGTCGATATTATTAATGTATATATATATATATTTAATTTAAGCATCTCAATTTAATAAACAATAATAGAAGCTTTAGAAAGTGAAAATAGTGCATTAATATTTTATTTTATAATATTTAGAAATATTTAGATAAAATTTGTACAATTCGATACACGATAGTGAATTTAATAATTTAATAAATTTTTTGATTTGGTAAATTTAGATTTTTGATTCATAAATTGATTTGCCACTTTTTAGATATTTAGATTTTTTTTTAGTTTAATTTAATTTAATTTAATTTAATTTAATTTAATTTAATCGTTGAAGAATTTAATTTTAATCCTCCGTTAATGTGAGATTTTTCGGGCATTGTAACATTGAAAATTTTCTGGAACTGAAAACTTTTTTTTAAATCGCGCAAAAATTAATTTATTTCACAGATTTGAGATAGAGAAAAGTGTGATTTATGATAAATTGCGTTAAAATTTCGTTCTCTATTGAAAAAATAATCGATTTTTGTATCAGGTAAAGGTAGCACTACTAACAATTCTCGTGAATACAACGGGTAACCAACAAACGAATGCGGTTCCTGAAAATTCTGCCGCATCCACGAATGGTGGCACGCCCAAGGTAATAATAAATAATAAATAATTAACTATAAAAAAAAAATCTCTTTCTCTTTCTCAAGAAAGATGATACAAAATTTCAACACTTTTCTAGATAATTTTTTGAGGTTTCAATTAATTATTGATTCACCAAATCTATCTAAAATTATTTTCCTTTTTTTTTTTTCCATTTTGAATTGTAAAAAATTCCAATTCTTTTGCTTAATTTATTATATTGAACTCGTACATACTTAAACGGTAAACAAATAAAGAGAAAAAAAAATCAGCATATAATTTTCTCTCTTGTAAAAAAAAAAGCATACCACTCAAAAGAAAAAAAAAAAAAAAAAAAAATCACATTTCCAAATAATCGATATTCCAATAATCAAATACAACAGCAGCTTACGAGTTTCACACGAACGATTCAATTTGTCAAATTACAATTCCGGGGGAAAAAATATATTTTTTTTTTTTTTCTAAAATAAAATCTCCCTCGCCATCACGATCATAGCACAATTTTTGTCGATGTCGAATCCTTGAATTTAAAAAAAAAAAAAAAAAAAGATCCCTGTTGCAATTTTTTTTATTATCCTCTTCGTCAAAATAATTCAAATCCTTCCACGAAACGAAACGAATCGGTGTACGCACGACCACCGATTCATTTCTCCTCGTAACCTCGTTCGCATTGTTCGAATCCCCGCCACCTCATTATCAGAGACACCTTGCGCGGAATACGCGCGACAATCACG